ACAGGCCTCCATCCACAGCACCCTTTAGGGCTCCAAAAACCTTATTGCCAGTTGTAGTTCTGGCGAGGCCTGCATCCAAGTAGCAGGTGAAGGCACCAGGCTTGCCATCAATGCTTTCCACATTGTACTCATCTCCAGTCACCTCCACCTGGCCTTCATAGATCTTATCCATGCCAAACCTATTGAGAAGCCTGCGGGCCAGCAGCAGGCCAGCACAATATGCTGCAGCATAATTTGTTAGGCCAACTTTCACACCATACTTTGGTAGTTCATGTGCGTATGCTGCACAGACTATCATATCCCCTTCAATACGGGCATAAACAATCTGACAAATGATGTCTCTGTTAGTTACACGAACTATCATCCTGTATTTAGGCGTGTTGTACTTATTTTTGTCCTGTATTACCAAGCGTTTCCTAGCATAGTAATCAGTTTTTCCCTCTCGTCGTCTTCTAAACTTCACTTGGTATCTCTTAAAGTAGGCCTTATTCTTGACAACCTTAACAAAACCCATCCTGTGTAATATAGACCCGCGTCCGCGGCCCTACACAGACCTGCAGGCCAAGCAGCACCACAGGGGGAAAAAAGTATTATACTTTTTTAAACAGTCTGAGCACATGAACTTTAACTTGTACAAGGTTTTGAAAGGGTCACATACACCTACTTTGGAAAAGATTAAGAACAGTGAGGAGTGAGGAAAGAAGAGGGGAAAACAAGTCACAGGACGCATTGTTTACTTCAGTTTTCTTTACTCCAAAGAATCGTGTTAAAAAGTTAAACATTTTGATGTTGAAGGCACTTGACAAAAAAAATACAGTAATTGAGAACCACTAGTTGGGTGAGCTTCAAGCACATAATAAATTGTATGTTTACTAAAATTGATAAGTGACCATTTATATAGCCCCCAGGTGCCTGTTTAATGCCCAAGAGTACCACATCTTGGCCAGTGTCTGTCACAGATGACTAATGGGTAGATGAGCTTGTCTGATCTCTGAATTCAAAGTTTTTAACTTAATGGTTTGTTTATCAAACAGAGATGAGAGTTTTTTTTTCAGTAGTAGCCATTTCAATATTATCTTAGCAGGTAATAAATAAAACTCTTGGGCCTAAAGATCTTTGAGTTTTTTCTTGTATTGAGTTTCTTTTTTTGGCAGAACCAGGAATTGAACTCAGGTCCTTACGCTTGCCAGGGAAGTGCTTATTCCACTGAGCCTTCTCCCCAGCCCTCTTGTATTGAGTTTCTAAAGAAGAAAGTTAAGTGCCTCATGCACAAGAACAAGATTGCTACTTTTGGCCAAAATTATGAAAGAGCATTAGGCTTTGTTTTTCTTCTCACTTTTTGGTGTGGCTCTGAATTGACCTTCCATACCCACAGCTTATGCATATACAGAATCAACCAATTGTAGATTACACCCCCAGCCCCTGCCCAATTATATCTATCCTGAATGTATACAGACTTTTTCTGTTCCTCAAACAATACAGTATGGCAACTATGTACATAACATCCACATTTCACTAGTAACTGTAATCTAGAGGTGATTCTAAGTATATAAGAGGATGTGTCTAGGTGTATGCAAAAACTATACTGTTTTCATATAAGGGATTTGAACATCTGAGGATTTTGATGTTCGAAGTGGGGCCTGAAACTGGTCTCCCATAGATACTGAGCACTGACCATATGTAGATAATAGGGGAGCATTTTACAAGTTGAGATGCCACTTTCCTTACCATTTCTAATGTACTTTTTTATTACAAAAGATAATTCCTTTTTATTTTTTATATAGAGAAGAAAATTAGTTGTTATTTCCTCAGATATTTCTTGAGAACTTGAGCACTAGAGGTAAGTTCTGTGAAGAGTAGAGATAACAAAATATAAGCTTTATTTTCAAAGCTAACAAGATAATTGCCATTAGAATATTGATATGGAGCAGCAAAGAAAAAATACAATATTTTATTGATTAGTGAATTACATAAGATAGATTAGTAGTGCATTCAAGGCATTACAGTGGAGGCTAGAACTTGACTTTTAGACTTGGAGACTAGCATTTAAACTAGAGAGAGGGGACAAACAAACTCTACGAGCAAAGACAACAGCCAAAGTGACACTGGGGCCGGAAAGGCAAGAATCATGTCAAGGATTTTAGAAGGCTAAGTGAGAGGACTTAGGGAACACCTACTTTGTCTCTCTATTTTTTATTTTTTATTTTTTTTGTGGAACTGGGTATTGAACTCAGGCCCTTGTTCTTGCCGGGAAAGCATTTATTCTACTGAGCTATCTCCCTGGCCCGGGACTACCTACTTTGAAGCAAGGTAAAAAAGGAAGGAGAGAGAAGGTATAAAAGTGACTGCAAGATTTAGGTTAAAGGAAGAGTAATGTGCCATTGACAGAGATAGAAGATTTGAAACTGGTTTTCCAGAAAGGGTAATACTTGATTTTAGATGTTTCACTTGAAATTGTATTATTTTGTAGCAAAATAACCAAGTGAAGATTTTCTTTGTACATTTATTTCTTTATTTGATACCAGGAATCAAACTCGGGATCTCATACTTGTGAAGCAGACATTTATGTCACTGAGCTATCTCCCCAGCCCTCATTGTACATTTAAAGATGAGGGACTAGAACATGTTTGAAAATATATATCACTAGAGATAATAGATCCATTATTTAGATGATTGTAATAGTTCCCTTAGGAAAAGAAGCGTATGAATTAAAGCTAAGTTTCGGGAAAAGGTGAGTGTTGGGGCAGGATGAAAAGAGTGAGATTGTTAGGAACGGTATGATCAACAGTGTCATGACTGCAAAGATGAGAAACTTGGGCTTAGATGAAAATGTTGAATTTGGCAAGAAATAAGAGAAGATGAACTTGTCTTTCTGAATAAGTTTACTGCACAAAATATTATTTTCTATAAAGTAATCACATCAAAAATCAAATTTTAAGCTGCAGAGATAGCTTAGTGGTTTATGCATTAGGCTCTACAGTAGGAGGTTGTAGGTTCGAGTCTCATGTCTGCCTTGGGGCCAGGGAGATGGCTCAGCAGAATTAGCGCTTCCCTGGCAAGCGCAAGGGCCTGAGTTCAATCCCCAGTTCAAAAAAAAAAAAAAAATCAAATTTTAAAAGGTTAAGGAAGGAGGGGCTATCAGGGAACTGGACAGTGGAAAGTTCTTTTGACAAATGACAAAGTGCCACAACAGCAAGTGTAACTAAGAGTTTTGATAATAATAAAAGAATTCTAAACATTTTAAAGATTATTTGGTATCTAGTATAGAACCATAGCTGCCATTTGAATCAAGCAGAATAGTAAGTTATTATGCCGCAAACTTTTCTTAAACATCTACTAAATAGAGTCCAGGATGCCACTGAGCTTAATGGAAAGCAGCGAAGTAACCAGCCTGCAGTTTCTGTTCTCAGGGAGCTTACTATATGACAGCGGATGTAAAGGCTGCGTCATCATTTGATTCAGGGTTCTCCCACTTATGTGATAGATACAGGGCCTGGAGCAATTCATTTAAATTTTTAATTTTTTTTTTCCCTGAATGTCAGTTTCTTTGTTCAAACAGTGGGAGTGACAATACTTTGCTTTTTTTTTTTTTTTTTTTTTTTTCAGAACTGGGAATTGAACTCAGGCTGTTGCGCTTGCTAGGCAAGCACTTATTCTACTGAGCTATCTCCCTGGCTTTTTTATCTTTTTGAGACAGGGTTTCACTATGCAGTTTAGGCTGGCCTTAAACTCCCTTTGTAGCCCAGGCTGGCTTAGAATTTATACTGATCTTCCAGCCTCAGCCTCCCAAGTGCTGGGTTTATAGGTGTGTACCACCATGCCCAGTGGACAGTACTTGAAGGCTTTCAAAGTTTTGCAGCCATGTGGTTTCTTAGCACACTGTCTACCCTATTAAGTCCATAGCTACTAGTATCGATTACTGCCTTCCTAACATGGAGTTCCTTAATGAATATCAGTGTCTTTCCCTTTTTGCTTACAACGTAGTATCCACTAATCTAAAATTGTAGCCTCTATAATATTACGGTATCATTTAACAGTCAGAAAGTGACCTATGGTATCTCTGCTGAAATCAACAAGTAGACAAGCAAAGGCTTATAAAATTTATTTTGACTTACAGATTTCTCTTCCAGTGTGTATACTGGAAGAGAAAGCCATAGAGGCTGGGGTCTTTTCTCAAAATTGGTTGAGCACATGAAAGCCATTTATAAAGATGAACCCTTGAGTATATGAAGAGTATCTAATCACAGGTTGTCCAACTAAAGTTCCAAAGGCTATGTTAATGAGGGAAGAGGGACTTTTTGGTTCTGTTTTTTTTTTGGCGGAACTCTTTTGTTTTGTTTTGGTCTTTTTGAGACAGTGTTTTACTGTACAGTTCAGGCTGGACTTGAACTCACTTTGTAGCTCAGGCTGGTTTCGAACTCATAGCGATCCTCCTGCCTCAGCTGCCAAGGTGCTGGAATTATAGGCTTGTGCCACAATGCCCAGCCTGAAGAGCATACTTTTTATTGAGAATATTTTCATGTATCCACAAAAGTGGAAAGAATAGTATAATGCTTTCCTACATACTGCCCATCATTGAGTTCCAGTAGTCAACAGATTTTAACAAAGAAGTATTTTGGTCAGAATTTATGTCATTTCTAGATCTATTACAGTAGTTTCTCCAAGTTATTAATTTTTAATCTCTTGCTATAGGTGCAGTTGAAATTCTACTTTAACATTTGTTAGGCAATAGTTGCTATTAATTTGAATCAATAGTAAAAAAATTACTTTTATAAATGTCATTCAGACTATTTTCATGACACGTTTTAATGTTTTTAGGACTTTTGTAACTATTTTAATTAAATGTATTTTAAACTTGTACATGAAACTTAAAAATCATTCGTGTTTAGGATGCATTTTAAATTGGAAGACCAAAAGAAAAATGCATGGGTTTGTGACTTTTTAAGAAGGGAAAGGGTTAAATATGTTGGATAGAATATATTTTGTTCTTTGTTTTTAAGGTTTGGCTTGAGCAACAAGTTTGATACTGAATTTCCTTCAGTTCTAACAGGGAAGGTAAGTGTAGTTTGCTTTGAACTTTCCAATTCTGTGCATTGTTTTATGCCTCATTTAGTGTTATGACAAATGTTCTGACTCTTTGCTAATGAAGTCAGGTAACAGGAGGCCTCTCTTTGTGGAAGCTGTATTAGGAGAGACTGAAAGCTCTGTCTGGCTCCCAGCTCCTGACCACTTATTTTATCCATTGTTCATTGATGCTGACCAATGTTTCTTTAGATATTCAGCCTTTCCTGTTTTTCCTCTTTCCCTAGTATAATAGCTATGATTGTTTCTTTCAATTAATAATTTCCAATGTTTGTTAACAGTTATTCTTTCACTGTATCACTATGATTTTCAATGTACCATATGGCACCATTTGTTATACATGAAAAGAATGAAATTTTTGTTAGACATTTTTCTGCCTTTTAAATACTTTGATTTTCTAACATTGGACTTACTGTAATAAATTATTGCCTGCTTGTTTTCTGATTCCTCTGCATTTAGGCTCGAAATTCAAAGATCTACTAGGATTCAAAGCCATAAGTGTAGAGACAATATACTGCATGATGATTACAAATAATAATATTGTATTATAACCCAGAAATTTGCTGGGAGTAGGTTTCAGGTTCTCTAAGCACAAAAGTAAAGATAATTATGTAGAGAGAGAAATATGTTGATTTTCTTGACTGGATATCATTTTGCTGTGAGGGTTTAGATAAAATATCATGTTGTACTCCTTAAGGATGTACAGATTTTTTTAAAAGATCTATACTTGAAAAATCCTGTTACAATAGTAAATGGTAACGTTTAGAACCAAAGGAAAACTTTATGCCTAAAATAAGAAGTTATTTATGCCTGTTTATTACTTGAGAAATTTAAAGGAAAGAAGCCATCAGATTACAAAATGCAATAATTTACAAATGTTTGTTAGTTGAAAGTTTGAGTAACTGAAACGATGATTTGAGGTTAAAGGCTGTGTAATACTGTACTGTTTCTGTTCAGTACTGCTAGTGCTAGCATAATTATATTTTTCAGCATAGATTTTAGTTTTATTTCAAAAACTATCCCATTCTCTAATGCTTTTTTATTTTTATTTTATTATTATTTTTTATGTATTTAGTACAGGGTCGGCAGGGTCTCACTATACAGATCGTACTCATAGTGATCCTCCTGTTTTCAGCCTCCCATGTGCTGGGATTATAGGTGCATGCCATCATGCCCAGTCTCAATTGCTGCCTCAGCGTGCCCTGGGGGTGGGGCTGGCACAGCACGCTGGGGATCTCACCCTGGTGAGGGTGCTTTAGTCCACTGAGCTGATTAACCTTTCTAATGCCTTTTTATTTTTAAAATTCTTCCCATAGTATTAGTGAGAAAAGCAAGATACACTGTGTGACAAATTATGTATCTGTCTATCCCTCTATCTATCTGAAAAGGAAGAAATAAACACATTAATAATTATGTAAATAATAATTATATTATAAACACAATAATTACAACAAAGAAGTTGTGCAAAGAAACAATTATATTTTTCAAAAAGAAATTCTAGAAAGATACGCATACATATGAAATGGAACAAATAGCACATTAATAATTATACTTTGCATAAAGACATTTTAGAAAGATATACACGAAACTGATAAAAATGATAGCTTCTGACAGAAAAAGGAGAATAAAAAGGATGAGGGAAGGGTGGAGATAAGGCAGTTTTGTGAACCTTATGAATCCTCATTCACTCCTAATTTGTTCTCTCATCTAAACTGTGAACATAAAACTTTCAAAATGGGATATATTACTTCTACTAATATTAGCTCCTTTTGTCATGATGCTTTTTCCAGCTGTTTGTGCTCTTCAGTTTTAGCTTCAATTTTAATGTTTCCCCCGCCCACAGCCACTTTGGGGGTTGGAGGAAGAGAGAAAGATGGCAGATTTATTTATTTTTTCAAGAGATAACTCTGAGATCAAGAGAAAAATGTATTTAACTTAACCTTTTTTTTGAGGAACCGGGGATTGAACTCAGGCCCTTGTGCTTGCCAGGCAAACGCTTTATCTACTGAACTATCACCCTGGCTCCTGTATTTAATTTAACCTTGAAAAATAATTTATATTTTATTTGCTTCATTTTCCCCTGAGAAATGAGAGCTAGCTTGACAAAGAATACAGCAAACCAGCTTTGTACTCATGTCTGGTTTGTATGTAGTCCGTGTTGTTTTTGACTAGTAGCTGTTGGTCTTGGGCAAAACACTTTTGAGACGCAGTTCTCATGTGAAAAATGGCAGTGGTACTGATGGTTACCTCACTTCTTAAAGGTTAAATACAATTGCATTAATGAACTTTCTAGTGTATATCAGATGCCTACAAATTTCTCAATGTCAGTTTGGGCTTACTGTTAACTGTTCTCATTGGATCCTTTCACATTATTTATTTCAGTTTATTCTCTAGGCTTCAATTTTTAATTGCTCTTGTACTTTTTTCTTCATCTGAGTTCTATTTTATTCTCTAGTTCATCTACTCATTTATCCTGCTGACTGTTGACCCTTTCTGTCTCTTCTAGGTATAACCTCAAATTATTGCATACAGTAATAAGCGCAGTCCCGGTCTCAGTTAACATTTCAAAATATGTGACTGTGTCACTTTTTAGTACCCAAAACACTGGGTGGTATGGAACCTTTGCTTCGATCTCTAGTACATTCTTTTTTCCTATCCTGGTTACTTAGGATAATTCACTCATTAAAGCAACAGCATAAACTTATATTTGTCTTATTTTTACTTTTTTGAATTTGATTTGATTTTTTTTTTTTTTTTTTTTTTTTTTGCGGAACCGGGGATTGAACTCAGACCCTTGCACTTGCCAGGCAAGCGCTTATTCTATTGAGCCATCTCCCCGGCCCCGAATTTGATTTGATTTTAAAGAGTATAAACAAAATAGATTTTTTAATATAAATGAATAAAAAATGTGTTCTCTAAATAAATGAAACAGCCATGAAAGTATCTCTTGAATAATAACATACTGATGAGAAGGTAGTAAATTTAATATTAAAATTAAAGAGAATATGAATGAAAACATCTCTAGTAAAAAGCATATTCTTTTTTTTAAATTATCTACAGTGATTTTATTTTATTTTTAAATTTTATTTATTTATTTGTGTGTGTGTGTGTGTGTGTGTGTGTGTGGCCAGCTCAGCCCACCAGGGGGCGGGGCTGGCTGGCATGTGGTGCTGGGGAATTGAACCGTGGTCCCTGTGCTTTGCTAAGCTTGTTCTAAGTAGGTGCTTTAGACCACTGAGCCATCTCACCAGCCCAAGCATATTCTTTTTGTTTCTCTTACTGTTGTGTTTGCTGACAGGGAAGTTACATCTAGTATTAGCATTGGATTACTTTTTATACGTTTAAATTACAGATCTAAGAAGTTCTAGAAAATGAGTAAACTAAAAATGTCAGTGAATATAGTTCCCTGGTGTAAGAATTACCTCATTTTGGAATTGGCCAGTTTTGTGTACTCAAGGAATTGTTGGAGTATTATTTCACACCTCCTCATCTCTTTCCAGGCTTCCTGAACTAACAGTTTCACTCACCCAAAGGATAGTATAATTACTTAAATTAGAAGAGTAAGAATGGTGAACTGTTTTTGGTGTGACTTCACATAACCTAAATGATGTGGATAGGACCTGTTCTTATAGACATCCATTCTTTATAGGTAACCATTTTTTTGTAGCGCTTTTCACAAAGATGTGTGGGTATTTATTCAACTGTGTATCACATTGTACAAAATTTCTCTTATATTGGAAAAAGCATATACGATACTATGCTAGTTTTCTTGGTGTGAAAAACATTCAACAGAATGCTGAAGGTCCATTGTTGGTTGATTGATTGATTGGTAGATAGATTGATTTGGTGCCAGGCACAGATCCAGGGCATGCTGCGTGCTACTGCCAAGCTATTACTCTCAACCCTTGAAGGTCTGATTTTTCTTTTTCTTTTTCTTTATTTTCTTTTGTTTTATTTTATTGGCGGAACCAGGGATTGAACTCAGACCCTTGAGCTTGCCAAGGAAGTGCTTATTCTACTGAGCCATCTCCCCGACCCCTGATTTTTATATTTATTTATTTATTTATTTATTTATTTTTGCAGTACCAGGGATTGAACTCAGGACCTTGTGCTTGCTAAGCAAGTGAAGGTCTGATTTTTAAAAGTCATATGATTGTTAACATTAATTTTATTCTTTTTTCTTTTTTATGAGAGAGATTTTCTCCAGGAGGCACTCTTATTTATACAGTTTACTTTGAATTCTTCTTTATTTTTTTGGCGGAACCGGGGATTGAACTCAGGCCATTGCGCTTGTCAGGGAAGTGCTTATTCCACTGAGCCACCTCTTGGGCCTTTTACTTTGAATTCTTAAAATGTTTCTTCGGTACCTGGTAGAAGAGGCCTTTATGTACATGTAAAAACAAAAAAGGTTCTGAATTTCAGATGGAATAAACCTTATGTTGAAATATTTTAAAATGAATCAATGTAATAGGTGAAATAGAAAAAAAACCCTATTCTTTATCAAATTAGTCTTCCAGCATGAGTGAATTTCTACATAGCTTTTATGGCTATCTTAGGTAAGCAAAACTCCACAGTGAATTCTAAAAACCTGAAAACATTTTTGCCAAGCTCAGTGGCTCACTGTTAATTTTTATGCTTCTTTTGTGTTAAAGTCCATCATGCAAAAAAGATCATCTTTTATTCAGTGCAGAAAAGATGCTTTTCAGGGCCGGTCAAATAGCTCAGTGGATTAAAGCCCCTGCAAGCAGGCGCAGGGGCTGGGGATTTGAACCCTGGGCCTGCAGTGACAGACCCGCCCCCGGGGGCACGCCGAGAAGGCAATTGAGACTGGGTGTGGTGGCGCGCCTATAATCCCAGCTCTTGGGAGGCTGAAAACAAGAGAATCACTACAAGTCCAATCTAGTAGTGAGGCCCTGAACACCCTGTAGACCCTTATCTAAAATACAGAAAAAAAAAAGAAAAGGTGGTTTTCA